AAGAAAGGCAATCGTTCTCAAACCTTTTTGGTTGAATGCCTTCAGATTAATAGCAATCACTAACTTATGTATATTAATTACATATTCATAATATAAAGAGCTACATGTAAAGAGGTGTTCTAATCATCTTTTAAAAAAGTAAATAGCTACTTCCTGACAGTTATCACGGAGATGTGTGTAGTTGCTTCTTACTGCAATATCTGTCAGTCCCTGGATTGGTGTTTGACAAGGGCACTCATAACGTATATTCACTTTATCCAAATAATGCTCTTCTATTGTTAGTCTCATAAATCAAGAAAAGGGCTTGATCCTTTTGTATATTTTTAACATCACATATTCATGATTTATATATAGTTGAGAGTTTCAAATTGCAATAATTAAAAATTCATGACAGATAAAAGCATTCCACAATTGTTTCGATTGGATGATAAATAGTGAATATCTGTTCTTGACTACAGCTTTCCAGCCTATCAGTGCAGAGAGGCAGTGCTTAGCAAGGTTGGTTGGGGAATGTTACTATTCGAATTAGTTACATTTAATTTGTCATCATTGAAGCTCACGTTAGTTAGAATGCTTTTTTCCAATATGTTTAATCTAAAGTTATGACAGATGATTTGATTTGTAGAACTCCAATAACTTCTCTACTGTAGAACCCAGTTTTGAAACAATTGATATAAGGCACTTATCGTACTGTCATTGATGCTGTCATTATACTACTAGAGTATAGCTGTAATGCTGAATTACTTTACTCCGCCTTTATAAAGCAATGCAATCTTTCCTCGATAAGGATGAGGGAAAGGTGCACATAAAAGATTGATTTATAAAATTGAGATTCATGGAATAGATAGGTCACTATCAAATTTGATCAAAAAGGGTTGGCTGAAGGACAGAAGCAGCAAGTTATGGTAAATAGATTAGAAGATGGCTAACAGCAGTTTCCCAAGTGTTAGGACACTAATTTTTGGAGATATATACATGATTTGAATTCGGGAATATGGCACACCAAAGGCCCTTCAGCCAATCAAGTCTGTGTAAACCTAACTACACTAGTCCCACTTTCCAGCACTTGGAGAATAACCTTTAATGGTATGATATTTCAAGTGTTCATCCCAGTACTTCTTAAAAAGTTGTGAGCTTTCCTGCCTCAACTACCCTCCTGGGTAGTGCATTCCAGATTCCCACCACCCTCTGGGTAAAAATATTTTTCCTCAAATCCCCTCTACATCTCCTGCCCTTCACCTTATAATTGTGCCTCCTTGTTATTGACCCTTCAACTAAGGGTACAGCTGCTTCCTATCCTTGCCCCTCATAATCTTATACACCTCAGTCCCTCCTCAGCCTTCTCTGCTCTAAAGAGAACAACCTGAGCTTATCCAGCCTGTCTTCATAGCTAAAGTGCTCCATCCCAGGCAACATCGTAGTGAATCATCTCTGCACCCCCTCCAATTCAATCACATCCTTCCTACAGTGTGGTGATGAGAACTGCGTACAGTATTCCAACTGTGGCTTAACCAAAGTTCTGTACAGCTCCAACGTAATCTTCCAGCTGAAATAATCTGTGCCATGACTGATAAAGGCAAGTTCTCAGTATGCATTCTTAATCATCCTATTAACCTGTCCTGCCACCTTCAGGGTTCTGTGGACAAGCACCCCATGATCCCTCTGTTCCCCTAAGCATCCTAGTGTCCTGCCATTCATTGAATACCCCCTTGTCTTGTGACTTCTTCCAGTGTGCATCACCTGATATATTTCAGGGTTAAATTCTGTCTGCCACTGATCTGCTCATCTGACCAACCCATCTATATCTCATTATATTGTATATATCATGAACAGTAAGGGACCCAATACGGATCATTGCAGTACACCATTTGACACAAGCTTCCAGTCGCACAAACCGCCTTCTACCTCTGTCCTCTGTCTGTTACCACTATGCCATTTTAGAACTACCTTGCCATGATACCCTGTGGTGCCATATGTGTTTACCTTTTTTATCAGTCTCACAGGTGGGACCTTGTCAAAGGCATTTTTGAAATCCATACAAACTACATCATCTGCAAGATAAGCATAAAGCAAAGAAGCAGAAATAGGCCATTCAGCCCTTTGAATCTGCTCTGCCATTCAAAGAGACCATGGCAGAACCAATAATTCTCAAGTCTACTTTCCTACCTTTTCCCCATATCCGCTTTCTATCTCAACCTTAGATCTACTTAATGACCAGCCTCAATAGTCTTCTATGGCAAAGAATTCCACAGATTTGCAACCCTCAGAGGGAAGAAATTCCTCCCAATCTCTATCTTAAATGTGTGACCCCTTATTCTGAGATTATGCCCTCTGGTCCTAGACTCTCCCACAAGGGAAAACAAACTCTCTGAATCTATCCTGTCAAGAATCTTGTAAGTTTCAATAAGGTGGCATCTCATTCTTCTATATTACAACAAGAACAGACTCAATCTTCTCAACCACCTGAAACTTATTTGAACTTCCTCCACATACTTAGATATGTGTCCCAAAACTGTTCACAGTATTCCAGCTGTGATCTGACCATTGCCTCGTACAATTTTAACAAAACTTCTGTACTTTTATATTCCATTCCATTTGCCTTCTGCATTACCCAATGAACTTGGATGCTTGCTTTTTGTGATTCATAGACGAGGACATTTAAATCCCTCTGTTCTGTAGCTTTCTGCAGCTTTCTGCAGTCATTCTCCATTTAAATAATAGTCAACATTTCTATTCTTCCTGCCAAAATACATTAGCTCACATTTCCCTGCATTATATTCCATCTGCTAAGTTTTTGCCCAATTGCTTAGCCTGTCCATATACCTCTGCAGACTTTTTGATTAATCCTTACTAATTGCCTTCCCGCATAGTTTTGTGTCATCAGCTACAGTATATTCACTTTCCTCATCCAAGGCATTAATGTATTTTATAAATAATTGTGGCCCCAGCACTAATCTGTGTGGTGCTCCGCTAGTTGCAGGTTGCCAGCCTGGAAATGCCTCCCTTGTCCCAATTCTGTCTTCTATTAGTGAGCCAGTCCTCTGTTCATGATAACATACTACTCCAACATCATGGACTGTTATCTTATTAAGTAACCTAATGTGTTATAGCTTATCAAAACATTTCTGAAAATCTAGGCACCTTCTTACCTCGCAAAATTCTATCAAATTTGTTAAGCATGACCTCACTTTGACGAAGCCATGCTGACTATCCCTAATCAAACCTTGCATTTCCAAGTGGAGATTAATTCTCTCCTCCAGAATTTCTCCAATTGTTTCCCTCCCACTGATGTGAGATTCATCGGTCTGTAATTCCCTGGTATATCCCTCTCTCCGTGAAAAATGGAACCACATTAGTTGCCCTCTACCACTTCCCCTGAAGCCAGAGAAGAATTGAAAGTTTGGGTCAGAGCCCCTGTAATTTCCTCTCTCATCTCTCATAGCAGCATACGATACAACCCCTCCAGACCTAGAGAATTATCTACTTTTAGGCCTGGCAAAACCTCACTCCCTATGTCAGTCTGCTCAAGTACCTCACAGTCCCTGTCCCCAAGTTCGCTACCTACATCTTCCTCCTCTTGAATGTAGACTGAAGTGAAACACTCTACCAGGGTCCTTCTGCACGGTGTAAAGTTTGCCCCCCTGGTCCCTAATGGGCCCCACTCTTTCTCTGGTTATCTTCTTCCCCTAAATGTACTTGTAAAATATCTTGGGATCTCTCAAATTTTACCTTTGTGTTTTTTCATGCTCCTGTTTCCTCCTAATTGCTTTAAGTTACCCCTGAGCTTTCTATACTCCACCAAGGCCTCCATCATTTGCTCCCTTTGTACCTGATAAAAAGCCTCTTTTTTTTTTTCCTTCTTAACCAATCCTGAATATTCCTAGACATCCAGGGTTCTTTGTCTTGTTATTTCCAAATTTCATCCCGCAGGGAACATGTTGGGCCTGTGCTTTCCCCATTTTCTTTTCAATCACACCTGCACTGTTCTGCTGTAGAATTTCTCCGATCCAAAATTGTTTTTTTTGCAAACTACCATTTTCCTTTTCATAACAGTGGTTGCTATCACTAAAATCTTCCCCACTACCACCTTAAACACCTTGGCAACTTTGTTCCCAAGAATTAGAAATAGGACTGGACTGTCCCTTCATGGACCTTCTATGTGTTGACATAATAAACTCTGCTGAATACGTATTCAGAAATCCAACCCCTCTTTACACTTGATAACAAGGTGGACATTATTTTAAAATGAAAGGCAGTAGGTTTAGAGGGGATTAGAGGAAAACCTTTTTCACCCAGAGGGGTCTGAAATGCACTTTCTGGGATTATAGTTGAGACGGGAAATCTCAGAATCTTTAAAAAGTGCTTGAAGTGTCATTACGTTCAAGGCTATGACCTAGTGTGTGACAGTGGGTCTAGTGTATGTAGTAGTATATCTTTGATAGTGCAGACTCAGTGGGCTGAAGGGCCTCATATATTGTATGATTCAATGATTACGACTATCCCAAACAATGTTGAGGAAGTTGAAATCCCCTGGTATAGTTACCTTATTATTATTGCACACCTCAACGTGAGCAATATAGCGTGAACTTCCAAAATTTACCACTGTTGCCAAGCTTGCAGGAGCTCAAACAGTGAGGATGATTCTGATCAACTGCAATAGAATACAAATAGGCCAACAGAATGGGAAATGAAGTGGCAGGTAGAATTCAATACAGCAAAATGTGAGGGGATCTGGGATACAATATGATTTAGTCAGCAGTGGTCCTCCTTCTGAGTCAGAAATGTCAGGTGTGATTCCCACTTCTAGACAGAAGGACCCAGTATTCAGTGCAGGAAAGCAAACATGTATTGTAATGAATCCTCAGCCTGGATTGACAGGTTGGGTTAGTGGCAGATATACCTACCAAAGCAAAAGATGATAATTGCAAAGAACGGTGATCAACTTGTTCTGAGGAAGGGTCACCAGACCCGAAACGTTAACTCTGTTTTTCCCTTCACAGATGCTGCCAGACCCACTGGGCTTTTCCAGCAACTTTGTTTTTGTTGTTGTTGTTGTTGATCAACTTGCATTGTGTTGACCCCATATAACATGGGAAAAGTCAAAAGAAAAACAAAACGATGCATGAGGTGAAGCAGTTTAACTGAAGGGGTAGTGGCAAACAATAAACACTTGAAGACATCGTTCCGAAGAGTGTGCAAGGACTGAAGAACCCAGGAATGTAGGGGTCATAAAGCCATAAGATGAAGGAACGGAAGTAGGCTTTTCAGCCCATTGAATCTGCTTCACCATTCGATCAGATCATGGCTATCTCTGTTTTGAATATTCTTAATGACCCAGCTTCAACAGGCCTCTGGAATAAACAATTCCACAAAATCAAACCCTCAGAGGAAATAAATTCATCTTCATCTCTGTCTTAAATATGTGACCCCTTATTCTGAGATTATGCCCTTTGGTCGTAGATTCTCCCACAAGAGGAACCAAACTTTCTGCATCTACGCTAACAGGTCCCCTAAGAATCCTGTATGTTTTAATAAGGTAACCTCTTACTGTTCTAAATTCTAAAGAGTACAGGTCCAACCTATTTGACCTCTTCTTGTAAAAAACATCCTTCTGTACCCAGAATCAACTTAGTGAACCTTCTCTAGACTGCCTGCAATGTTGGTATTTCTTTCCTTTGATAAAGGGCCAAAACTATTCACTGTGTTTAAGATGTGGTCTGTCTAGTGCTTTGTATAGTTTTAACAATACTTCCCTCTTCTTTTATTCCATTCCTTTTAAAGGCCAACAGAACACTTCCTTATTAGTTGCTGAACATGGATGCTAGCTTTTTATGATTCATGCACAAGGACCTCCAAATCCCTCCTGTACTGCATCTTTCTGCAATCTTTTTCCATTTTAATAACATATAGCTCTTTTATTCTTCTTGCCAAAGTGCATAACCTTACATTTTCCAAATTATGTTCCTTCTGCCAAGTTTTTGGCCACTCACTTTACATAGAAACATAGAAAGTAGAATCAGAAATGGGCCATTTGGCCCTTCAAGCTTGCTTCATCATTCATTATGAATATGTCCAATCATCCAACACAGTAGCCTGTTCCTCCTTTACCCTTATATCCTGTGATCCACTTAGTTCCAAGGGCTAAACCCAAACTCCTTTTTGAAAACATACAATGTTTTAGCATCGACTGATTTCTGTGGTAGTGAATTCTGTAGGCTCATCAGTCTCTGGATGAAGAAGTATCTCCTCATCTTAGTTTAAGGATATGAAGTATGACTGTGACCCCTTGTTCTGCACATCCCTGCCATCAAGAACATCTTTCCTCCATTTACCTCGTCTAGTCCTGTTGGAATTTTAAGTTTCTATGAGAAACCCCTTCATTCTTCTGAATGCCAGTGAGTATAATCTTAACTGACGCAACTCCTCCTTATATGTCAGTCTGCCTTCCAGGAATCAGTCTGCTAAACCTTCGCTGCACTGTCCCTAGAGCAAGAACGTGCTTCCTCAGATAAAGAGGCCAAAACTGCACGTAATATTCATGATATGTAATTGCAGCAAGACATCCCTACTCCTGTATTCAAATCCTCTCACTATGAAGGCCCATATGCTTTTTGCCATCTTTACCGCTTGCTGCACCTGCATGCTTACCTTCAATGACTGAAATACAAGTTTGCCCAGATCTTGTTGTACATACCCATGTCTTAATTTATATCCATTCAGGTAATGATCTGCCTTTCTGTTTTTGCTCCCAAAGTGGATAATCTAACATCTATATCCATGTTATACTGTATCTGTCACACGTTTGCCCAGTCATTCAGCTTGTCCAAATGACACTCAAACATCTCTGCATCCTCCTTACAGCTCACCCTCTTATCCAGCTTTGTGTCATCTGCAAATTTGAAGATATTGTATTTCATTCCTTCATTTGAATAGATGGGTAGCTGGAGTCTGAGCACTGATCCCTGTGACACACCACCTGTCACTGCCTACTTTTTGGAAAAAGACCCACTTATTCCTATTCTTTGTTACTTGCTGACCAGTTTTATTTCCATCTCAATATACTACCACAATCCCATGGGCTTTAATTTTAAGTACTAATCTCTTATGTGGGACTTTGTTAAAAGCCTTCTGAAAGCCCAAATAAACCACATCCACTGGTTCCCCCTCATCAACTGAATGAGTTACATCCATAAAAAATCTCAATAGATTTGTCAAGCATGATTTCCCTCTATCCCTTTCATAAATCCATGCTGTCCCTGTTTGATCTTGCCACAGTTTTCCGAGTGTTCAGCAGTTAAATATTTTATAATAAAGAGACCTGAAATTCCTACACACAGAGAATCCATTATTCCTGGTATTATGGTGGTATGTGGGAATGCTCTTAGCCTCCTGAGGAGTCTGGTACAGCCAGAGAAGCCGGGTTTCAAAACTTATGAAGAAATAGTAGAAATGGTGGCAGCTGAGAGACGAGCACCAACACAGATTCAAAACTGCCATTGGTGTGGAAGAACACTTCACTCAACAGCAAATTGCTGGTATAAATTAGTTGTATGCAGAAACAAAATGGGTGTGTTTGAGAAAGAAACATGAACAGCGTACAGCAAAAGTACTGAAAGTGAAGAGTAGGAAGAAAATCTACATGGTACAATGACAGCATGGATAATCTGCTAGTTTCATTGGGAGGACCATGGCTGGAAAAAAAATCAAACTCTATTGGGTTGAACTAAGTCGCTTGTCAGATTCTGAAACTGATTCATTACAAAATTCTAAAGAAGCATGCCATTATTTTCACAGGGATCTGGGAGACCTGGAAAAGACCTCTGTCGAATTGAAAATCAAGGATGAGACTCAAGTAAAATGTTGCAAGGCTAGATCAGTGCCTCATGCAATCAGACCAAAGGTTGAGGCAGAATTAAACCTACTTGACAGGGTTCAGAAAAGATTTACAAGGATGTTGCCAGGGTGGAGGATTTGAGCTATAGGGGAGGCTGAATAGGCTATTTTCCCTGCAGTGTTGGAGGCTGAGGGGTGAACTTAGAGGTTTGTAAAATCATGAGGGGCATGGATAGGATGAATAGCCAAGGTCTTTTCCCCAGGGTAGGGGAGTCAAAAACTAGAGGGCATAGCTTTAAGGTGAAGGGGGAAAGATTTAAAATAAACCTAAGGGGCAACGTTTTCCAAGCAGAGGATGGTGTGTGTATGGAATGAACTGCCAGAGGAAGTGGTGGAAGCAGGTACAATTAGAATATTTAAAAGGCACTTGGATGGGTACATGAATAGGAAGGGTTTAGAGGATATGGGCCAAACACTGGTAAATGGGATTAGATTAATTTAGGATATCTAGTTGGCGTGGATGAGTTGGACCAAAGTGTTCTGTTTCCATGCTGTACATGTCTATGACACTATGACTGTAATTGAGTGACACTGGTCAAGGTGGGAATCCTTGAATCCAAAAATGATTGGCCCACACCTATCATTCAACTGATAGATGGAGTATACATCTGTGGTGATTACAAGTTCACTACTAATCCAGTGTTATGTGCTGAGCAGTATCCTTTGCCTGTAATCGATGACCTACTTGCTGGACTAGCTAGAGGTCTGCTTTTCAGTAAGATTGACCTTAGTCAAGCCTATCTCCAGATGAATGTAGGCCCTGAGTCACAGAAATATTTGATTATTATAACACGTAAAGTAGTATTCAAATTCAAGAGATTTCCATTTGGAATCCATCTGCGCGTGGCTTATTCCAACATGCCATGGATCAGATTTGAAGTGGATTGGAAGGAGTCCAGTGTTACTAAGATGATATTTTAGTCACAGGGAGAACCTAAAAAAGAGCATCCTCACAAATTAAATGCTACTAAGCAGAGATTTGAAGAAGTGAGGAAAAATGAATGTGATTTTTAAAAAAATCTTCCGTACGATATTAAGGCCATATCATTGATGCTGAGGGATTACACAAGTCCCCTTCAAAAGTAAAAACTGAAGGAACTGTGGGATGCTGTAAATCAGAAACAAAAACAGAAGTTTTTTACGTTCTGGAGGAAGGGTCAAATGACATTAACTCTGATTTCTGTCCACAGATGCTGCCAGACCTGCTGAGCTTTTCCAGCAATTTCTGGTTTTGTCCCATTCAAAAGTGAAAGCCATAACTGAAGCACCAGCACCTAAAAATATGAAAACCAACTACAATCATTTTTGAGCGTGCTAAATTACTATGGCAGGTTTGTTCCAAATCTTGCAACCATTTGCAAGTCATTGCACACTCTATTATGCCAAAACCAAAATTGGAAATAGGATGATCAATGTGAAAGAGCTTTTACACAAGCCAAAAAGGTTGTTTTAAAGTCAGAAGTCCTGACCCATTGTTACCCAAAGTTACTGTTGCAACTAGCATGCCAAATGGTGAAGAAAGGCAATGTTTTTTTGTATCAAGATAGTTGAACAATACAGCAATGAACTATGCATAAATAGAGAATCTCTAGGAGACATTTTTGGCATTGGGCGATTGCACCAATATCTGTATAGGTAATTTACCCTAACAGAGCATGAACCATTGGCTACAGTATTTGTGCCTCATACAGGGAAGCCTTCTCTAGCAGCAAACTACATGCAGAGGTGGGTGTTGTTGCTGTCAGCTGGCACTTATACACTTAGGGATTCGCAGTCCAACTTAGGAGAGAATGCTGATGGATTTTAGATTATATTTGCCAAATGAGTTGACAACAAACAGTCTTTATGTAGACATTTTCTACTTCAAGCAAGTAGGGAACACTCTGGCAACGGCAGGACAAATTAAGAGAGACAGTCAAAATGACTTACTACTATGCGAGTGGTGGATGTGGTACTTTGCGGCAAGATCAACCAGGAACAACCAGAACTGAAGCCATATGTCACATGGAAGCTAGAACTATCTATACAAGGAGAAGGTCTCCTGTGGGGAATGAAGGTCATCACCACAGCTAAGGAAACGCATGTTAAAGATCATTAACTTTGGATTGTTGGACTCAAAGCATTGACTTTGTTTTCTCTTCACCGATGCTACCAGACCTGCTGAGTTTTTTTGTTTCATAATAGAGCTTCTGCTTTTGAACATTTCAGTTTCCTGGTCGTTCTTGGAACTGAATAGCCTTCCCACTTATTTTTATGTCATCTGCAAACCTGGCGATAGTACGTTTGCTTCCAGTATATAAGTCAGTAATATTTTATTCACAATAACTATGGATCCAGCACTGATCCCTGTGGTACTCCATTAGTTACAGGTTACCATGCTGAAAATGCCTCCCTTTATCCCAACTGTCTGTTTTCTATTATTTGACCAATCCTGAAAACATGCTAATATACTATCCCAAAATTATGTGCTCTTTTCTTATTCGGTAAACTTGGTGCAATATTTTTTCAAGTGCCATTTTAAAATCCAAACATATTACATCTACTGGTTCTGTTTTATCTATCCTGTCTGTTACTTACTCAAAGAATTTAAAAAAAAAATTGTCAGGCACGATTTCCCCACCATGAAGCCATGCTGACTTTGCTTGATTATATTATCTGCTTCCACTGTTATGGACTAGACCAAATCCCCTTCACATATATATCAAGGAGATAACCTAGACTCCAACTTTTATTTAAAGACAAGTCTAAGGTGCAGTGTTCCAGATGTAAATCGATTAGTCACATCACTCAGCTTTAAGCAAAACCACTTTACCCCCAGTTAAAATGCAAAAAAAGAAAGAAGAATTGGAAGTAGTTTAACTCTACTCGAAAACATAACTGAATAATATATTACTTAACTACCAAACAACAACTGTTCCAATATAGTAATATCCCATAAACATACCTTGGCAAAGGCAAAGTCAATAAAACAGATTGTCTCACATGA